TGATAGCTATCGAATTCTACTAAAATAAAAATATGAAGAGCTGGAGGGCGAGCATTAGGAGCATATATAATGTAGCATATAGTTCCTAGTGAACCATTGATGAGACCTCCTTGCACCCATAAGTTGACTCTCAGCATGATTCTGGCATTAACTGAGAGATTCAAATACTTGGAGAGACCAAGAGCTGTGTCATCTTTGGATGAAGGCAGGGCAATATCTGGAGTGTTTTCAGATGCTATATAAGCAACAGGGCATCTAGTTGACTGCAAGTAGTCTTCGTTGCTTTGTTTAACTTTCTCGTTTGTTGGATATACTGTAACTCTACTGCCATTTGGAACTGATCAAGTTCATCTCTGGATAAATAAGCTTGATTTCTTGTCAGAATGTTCCGATCTGTATCAGAGAAATCACCCGAAGCTAGATGTTGTAAGACATCTGTGAAGGAACTATCTGCGCTATTTTGTCTATGAGAATTACTAAGTTCAATGAACTTCTCAAAAGAATCAAATGCAAATATACCTTGTTCGGACATTACATCATAAAAAACATTTGATTAGAGAGAGGAGTATCTTTAACAGGAGGAAGCTGACGAAAATCACCAAACAAATAGATAAAGAATCCACCAAACGGCTCATCTTTCTCGGGGTTTATCTCCCTCAATGTTCTCTTGATCATGTAAAACATTCTTGCACCAATCATTGACATTTCATCGATGATGATGAATTTAAGAGACTTTATCTCATTCTGGAATCTCTGTACAGCTTCTCCATTTAGAGATCGAAATTTCATACTAATGATAGGAAGACGAAGTAACGATGGATTGTAAAGCCATCAATATTGATTGCTGCTGCTCCAGTGGGGCACAAACCTTTATAGCATCAGGTTCTATAGCTAAAATGACCTGTCGAACAATTTCCTTTATCACAGTGCTTTTCCCAGACCCTGTCTTACCTTGAATAATCAATCTCTTCTCACAACGAATAGAACAAAGGGTTAGAGACTTTATTTGCTTATCAACAATATCTAAAACTAAACGTTGGTCAGATGAAAAATTAACTTTGGGACAGTCAGCCTTCTTCAAGCATTATGTCTTCAAGAGCTCAGAAACATCATCCATAGTCAGAATAAAAGAGGGCATGGAATTCCAATCATGAGATAAATCCATCAATCTATGGCCTAAGGTTGTGTCAACAGCAGTACCTCTGAAGCCAGCAGCAATAATAAATAGATCCTATATGTTGTCTTCATTAATCCGCTCAGGAAGGAAGCTATCTTCTCCTGGCTGTGGAAACTGTAATTGTTCTACCGCACCAATGCTGTTCCTCTCATATGCCCCAAACCATGTTTCACACTCAATTCTATCAAGAATACTGCAGAATTCATCATGGAATGGAATGTAGAGAATTGCATTGGAGTTTGTAAAACTGCTCTTGTTTGTCAGGATCTGTATCAAGATTGATTTGTGGAAAAATTTTGACAATTGCATCTTTCTTACAACAAATGAACCTTTCACCTCTTTTATTCCACCTCTTTGCAAAATCAATCAATGATAACGGTGGTAAAAAATCTTCTGGTCAACTCCTGAGCTCCCTTTGATGCTCACGCCTAACCTGATCACTCTGTTTTGACATACGAGGCATAGCAAAAATTAAAATGGCGTTCGGAGTAACCACGTTTAGTGTGCAGCGACCACTAGATGACGCTTCTACACGTGCGTGCAGGAAGCAGCTGCCAAGCAAGTTTAATAATTTCTGATTTTGTATAAATGTAATGTTTTAAAAATAAAACTTTATTTAACTTATTATAGTAGAGCTTCGTTTATCCGAAAGCCGATCAACCGAAACATCGGTTAACCAAAAGCATTCTACTCGGACTGTGTCGTGCTGAATTGAATGTTTTTGATACTAGATTAACTTCCAAAATATAATTTTTTTGTTTTTATATTTTTCAATATATTTATTTTGTTTGTACAAAAAAAAGAAATAATTTTTAACAATACAATAGTCATGATTATTATTTTTAAAAATTTACATTAAGCTTAACATTGACGAAAATTCAATGCAAAGCAACATGCAACAGAGAGAAATTTCAACATGGGATAGGTTAATATATTTTTTTGTACATAATCAGTTATCCAAAAAATAAGTTATCTGAACGACCCCAGTCCCCAATTGATTCGGATAAATGATGCTCTACTGTATTCTATAAAGATTCTTTATATTTGCTGTGTATCTAGTTAGTGATAGCATTTACCTTTCAAAATTACCGTTTTAATGCTTGTCATATTTTCTGACCACTAGATGACGCTTCTACATGTGTGTGCAGGAAGTGCATTCCTTGTCAACATTATAACTCTAAAATGAGTTGTCCGATCTTGATGAAAATTTCTAGGAAGATTCATAATCACTCAAGGATGAACTGATTAAAATTTCAACTTTCAAAAATGATCCATACTGAAGAAAAATATGACCTTCGTTTTGACCCCTATCTCCAGTTCTTTAAAAATTGATCATTTATATTAATATTAGTGTATAAATTTCCACTGAAAAAACAAAGTATAAATGTTTTTGTACAAAAAATTTTAGGAAAATATTTTTTGATAAAAACTTTAACTGATTAATTGATATGAATTGTCAGTTGTCATCTGTATTATGCCACATTTTCATATACTTTGTTAGGCTATATAATGACAATACATATCTCTGTCTGACTTCTTTTTTTAAAACCTATCCCATGTTGAAATTTTTCTCCATTGCATGTTGCTCCATGTTGAATTTTTGTCAATGTGAAACCCAACGAAATTACAGATTTTTGAAAAAATAATCATGGCTATTGTATCATCCAAAATTATTTTTTTATTTTGTACAAACAAAATAGATATATTAGTAAATGTAAAAACAAAAAAAAATTATATTTAGAAGTTAGTTTTAATATAAAAATTATATAGACTAGTGACATCTAGATTCAAAAACGTTTTGATGTTGAAACAAGATATTTCGGCTCAACTGGCCAAATGGTCATCATGTTTCAGCCCGAAATATTTCAGGAATACCAGGGAACAGGTTAATTAACCATAGTTAAATAAATTTCTTATGTTTAGAACTTAGCCCCGAATAACAGTTTTGATACTGAAGGCTCAACGCTGCTATATACAATGTCAGCTCTCAGATGCCTCTTATACAACAAAACTACAAAGTCGTGTCAGTAAGTTTACACGTACGCACTGGCCTAGCAGCAGAATTGGTCCTTCAGCATACAATAGTTCCCCTGATACCCCTGCTTTTTTTGCCTTTGCTAAAACACACAAACCTGGTCAACATTTATGACCTGTGATTGATAAAGCCAGGTCTCCGATGTTCTTATTAGAAGAATGAATTATCACTTGTTAAACCGCCATCTCGCTTCATATACCTATACTGTCTCTGATTCATGTGCACTTCTCTCCAAACTTGCAAATATTAATTTAAATGAGAATGAATATCTCGTGGTGTTCGATTTTGTATCCATGTTCCACCCTATTTATTTAGAACCATATTTTTGCATGTTAAGAGATTTCTTTCTTGGCACTACACCCAATGTTCAGACTTTCCATTCCCAGATATTTGAGCTTGCACATCTACTGTGCTATTTGTCCATTTTTTACTTTGATGAACACACATACATCCACAAAAGGGGTACCGATGGATAGTCCCATTTTGGGAGATCTTTGTGAACTAGTATTACAGCAGTTTGAAGAATGGTCTTTAGTAAACTTCAAACACAATATCCTTAGTTATACCCATTATGTGGATATTTTGATTATATGGAGAATTAAACCTGATATAGAAGTGTTAAAAGTTTAAAAGTTTTTAACAGTAACAACTATGGATTAACATTAGAATTAGATCAGGAAAGCTACACAGAGGTTAATTACTTAGACATCAAAATTCAGGTTGCTAATAAAACGATAAACACCTCAATTTACATACATTTCCCTCTTTATATCTGCTAACTCAGTTAATCCACGGTCTTTTAAGGTAGCCGCTTTCCATGTCCTAGTCACAAGAACATACATTTTACTTAGATGTCCAATACCAACAACGAACTAGAACACATTAAACATATTGCTTCCACACATGAGTACAACTGTTCGTTAATCAACAGACTAGCTTCCACACATCAAGCTAAGTCATCCACCACCATTACAAGTATTAACAAAGCGGAGGGTAATCATGTAGTTCTAAGTTATGAATTGTCCCTACATCACATTTACAAGATTGCCAGAGATTCAAATCTACGCTTAACTTATAGGAGAAAACCCAACATTTTCTGCCTTCTACTGCAAAAGAGAGCACAGATGATGCAAGAGCATCAGGTGTTTACAGTATCCCATTACAAGATGGATGGTTTAACAGGAGACATACATCAGATCCACATACAGATCTCCACAAGCCAGGCTACATGACCAAAAATATGATGTAGCAAAAGGGAATTGTAATACTGTTCTTGTCCGATATGCTGTCGAATCAGGGGTTTTCCCCAGTTGGGATGAAGCTACCCTTGTATACTGGGTCTTTGACCAACACAACATAGGATCGTTAGAGGCCTTAGAAATTTATAGAGCTGACAAGAACAGAAATTGCATCAACTCAGATTATATTCCAGTACCATAAGCCTGGAAATATTATTTAGACTTTCACAAAATTTTAATTTTATTAATAATTTCATTTTTACATTATACTTGTAAAAAAAATATTGCTTGTTTATTTATGATGTGAACTATGCTCACTGTCTTGTTTGAACATCATTTTGAAGGTTTAAAAAATTGGAATGTGGTATTGTTCAATTAATAGAACTCCTTTTTGTATTCTTCCTGATGAGGGTTGATAAATTATGGCTGAAAACATTCAAACAGTACTTGTTGTTTGCTGGAAATTGCATTTAGGTGTTATTTCTTTGAGTTATAAGATAATCTATATGATGATATAAAGCATGTTTCTTATAGTTAAATCTACTTTTAGGGGTGTAGGATGTATATTTTTTGAAATGGCAAGTGGTCGTCCTTTGTTTCCTGGTTCAACTGTGGAAGATGAATTGCATCTAATATTTCGAACCTTAGGCACCCCAGTTGAAGAAACATGGCCAGGAATATCCTCAGTTCAAGATTTTCTTGCATATAATTTCCCAATCTATGAACCTGAACCCTTGCTAAATAGAGTGCCTCGTCTTGACACTGATGGTCTTGATCTTTTAATAAAATGTTTGAAGGTAAGTCTACAATATAATTATTAAAAATTATATATTTGTAACTCCTAGGTCATGAAAGAAATAAAAACTGATCTTTTTTAGAAGTAAACATTACAAAAACTAATACGGTTATCCCTTGTACAAAACTGTGCTATACAAAACAAAGGACTAGTGCAAAACATAGGGTTAGATTCCAAAAGTTAACAAAAGTATATAATTCTTTTTCACTACTAACAAGAGGAACCCAAGGGATTGTCATCAGCGAAATTTTGTGGACATATAGTATTTACTTGTACTTAAACTTTACCAAAGCCGCAAGACCCACTATTCAGGCATTGTTGAGAAAATCATGATTAAAGTTTTTCTAGAACTATTAATACGTATTCAGAAGCACCATTCATGTGTTTGTGGCGTGGCATGATTAGTTAAGGCATTGCTCGAAAAGTGTTAATATGCAGGTTTGAATCATGTATGAGATTAAATTTTAAATAAATAAATAATTTATATTTTATTATTATTAAATTTGTTATGTACAGTTTTTAAAGTCATTGAAAATTTATTTTTTTATTTTGATCACTCCATATTTTGAAAATACATATAGCATTATAATCACATATTTATATTGTTTAATGTAATGTAGGTTCTTATATTATGCATATTAATACATTTATATTACATTTCATATGTAAAGATAGGAAGATATTATAATAAGCAACTCAACACCATTTGTATTCTTTCCAGCAAAAAATATATTATATATACTGTATATAATATATTAGTAGATAGATAGGCCTAATCTAATCAGGAAAGAAAAACTAGATGAAGATTATGCTTTCTGCCTGGATGGTTCAGTTTTACTGGAGAAGTAAGGGCACTGCTAGAGTTCATCAGGTGGGTCCCTTTGATGTAGAAAGGAAAGCGACCAAAGTTGACAGCTAGGATTCTCTTTTCATTCCCCAGTGACCCCAATGATGGACAGTATAAATAAAACCATTAAGCATGCCAGACAAATTTTTATAGAAGACGTTTTTGCTTATATTGTATTTGGTTTGTGATGTATAGATATTCCTATGGCATCAATGAGCACTAGTGAACTGTAGCTATCTCCTGAAAACTGGTAGAGAAATAGGCAATCATGAAGATGCTATTAAAATACACTGTCTAATTGACAACCAGTTTTTTTTTATGTTAAAATATGCACTGTTTGCATCTGAAATAATATGCAAAAAAAAAATATTTTCAAAAATGTTAATGAAGTTTGTTTTCCACCCTTTGTTGTTAAAACAAAATGTAAAGATTGTGCAAATGAAGTAGCAATGATTATTTGTGCATGGTGCACCAAACCATTGTTTTAAATGTTTTATGATAAATATCACCCAAAATGTCATATTTTTGTGAAACAGTAATTGTAAGTACAGGGTGATTCAAAAGTCACAGAAATTTTTAAAAATTAATAACTCACAAACTATTTACAAAAAGATGATGCGGTTTTCACAAAAATGCTTAGAAGTGGGATTTTTTTGTGTGTAATAAAAATTTTAGTACCAAAATAGTTCTTGCCATACATGGTACTTGATAAGAATACATAATTTGTGTAGATGTTACTAGAGTTTACACTAAGAACATTTTTATTTTTTTATTCTTATTTTAACAAATTTACAAATGCTACAGTGCCATCTATGGCAAGAAATGTAACTATTTTGGTACTAAACTTTTTATCACATGTAAAAAAAATCCTGCTTCTTTCTAAACATTTCTGTGAAAACTACATCATCTTCTGTAAATAGTTTGTGAGTTATTAATTTTTAAAAATTTCTGTGACTTTTGAATTACCATTTATTGCATGTATATTTTTTGAATTCCCTGATATTTTATAAAGAATAATAAATTTAAAATTCAATAATTAAAAACGGCATAAAAATTGTACATAACAAATTTAATAATAACAAGTAAAATGGCAAAGCCATATTTGGGATAAGACAATGTCTCACAGACTCACTACTAAGCGGGATCACTTTGACACTTGAAATGGGTCTTGTTCTCATTCTCCAATCTTCTTTGGTATTGCTGGTTTTGAGCATGATTGTTCAAATCTCACCAGCTTTGGCCACGACCATGAGGTTGTCCACAATGCATTTTCAGTGAATTAACCTATCCAATATTGAAATTTCTCTCCATTGCGTGTTGCCCCAGGATGAATTTTTGTTGATGCCTAATGAAAATTTCCCGTTTTTTTAAAAAGAAAAAAGTTATATTTCGGAAGTTAGTTTTATTATAAAATTATAATGACTAGTGCCATCTGCTTTCAAAAACATTCTGATGTTGAAACAAGATATCGTGGGTCAATTAGTCAAGGTCAGCATGTCATGACCAGAGATATATCGGGAATAATGCAGGACAGGTAAATGGTTTTTTCAAAGATTCGTTTGTCAAAATTTGATTTTGCAACATTCACATTTTGAACTTCCCAATGAGCAACACATGTGCAAATCTCGCACTAGTGCCTCTTTGTAGAAAGAGTGTCGCCATTTTATATTTTATTTTGACTCGGTTCTCAATCCCCTGAGTACATACAAGTCTGGTTTTTTTTATGCATGCATGATTTGGGCACCTAATACTCTGTGCCAAATTGCAACTCCTGACATGTACTCCTTTATACCTCTAAGCTGGTAACGCAGGATGGCACCATGATTTTATAAACAAGACATAGTCTTGTCAATAAGATTAAATTATAAATGTAAAAAAAATTTCATATGGGATCAAACCTGCATATTAATGCTCTTCATGCAATGCCTTAACTAATCACACCACACCATAAATGCACAAATGGCTCTTCTGGTTAGGTATTAATAGTTCTAGAAAAACTTTAATCATGATTTTCTCGAGATTGCCCAAATAGTGAGTCCTACGGCTTTGGCAGAGTTTAAGTACAAGTAAATACTACACGTCCACAAAATTTTGTTGAAATTGGTGATGACAACTTCCTGGGTTCCCCTTGTAATAGAAAAATGTTTATTAAAGAAATCAATAATTGATTTCCAATTAATAAATAACTAAAATTCACAATTAAAAGTACTGTATTATACATTAATATTAATTTTNTGGGTTCCCCTTGTAATAGAAAAATGTTTATTAAAGAAATCAATAATTGATTTCCAATTAATAAATAACTAAAATTCACAATTAAAAGTACTGTATTATACATTAATATTAATTTTAGTTAAATGAAGGTGTTTTCTTTTTACAAAGTATTGTTGTCATCTGAACGTTTTTGTTGATCTTTATCAGAAATATTGGCAATATCTTCATTTCTTTTTATAATTATCATAATTTTTCCTATGGATGACAAAATGAAAATATGTTATTAATCAAAAATTTGTTTTAACAGGTCACATTTGTTCAGTTGAGAACCAAGCAATTTTTTCCAGAATTTGTGTTTGAATATTGAATTGTTTGAGTTGTGAACAGTTCAAGTACCAAGATACCACTGTATTTCATTTGTCGCTTTTATGAATGATTACTTAACTATGATTTAAAAAAGTTTAATAACATTTACCTAAACATGTTAGTAGATGTTTTTGAATTTTGGTTTTACTGTCAGGAGTATAAAGTAGTACTGACTTTAAAACCACCCAAAACTAAAAATTCCCAAACTAAACATAAATAAACAAAAATAAATAGTAATAAATGAAAATGGCATAAGATATCCTGTTCACAATGATTGATCAAATTAATCTCAAAAATAATCTTTTTATATATACTATTTAGAGTAGTTGTATTATACTGTTTTCTAAACTGATATATTTCTGAATAGAAATAATGCTGATGAAGAATACTTAATTATAGAATGTTTTATGTAATCTTAGTAAAATTCAAAATTTTTTTTTCTAGTATGATCCTAAGTACAGGAATAGTGCAAGTGCTGCAATGAAACATACCTATTTTGATAGCTTGGGTCCAAATATTCATAAATTACCAGATAGTAAGTATTCTATTTATACATTATTTATGCATGGTGTATATTTTTAACTGTAGTATATGGTTATTGTAGTTATAATGTTTATTTATGGCATTAAGTCCATTCATTAGAATGTTTTCTTGTTTAACATTTTTATAAACAATACATTAACTGATTATTATGATTATAATTGTTCAGAAGAAGACATTAAACTTGTACTTATCATTCAGACAGTTTTATTAACATTTGCACACCAGTAACATTGTTGTTTCAAAATAATAGTATACATGAAAAATTAAGATAATTTTAAAGAATTTATTTCATTTATTACTAATGAAATTTGTAATATGATGACAAATTTTGAGAAAATATGTGCCAACTTTGATATGGACAGAGAATTCCTCCACCAATCAATATTTTAATTGTTTACCAGACTTGCCATCATATTTGAAGGGAACTAGTTTGTGAAATGTTGCATGTTTTTTGAGTTATTGTAATTGTTGTCAATAGACTATTGTGTGGGATTTGAACAGGGTTATCAGTAACTCAATCTTTATTATTCCAATCTGCTGAGAAACATTATTATTCTAATTTATTACTGCAGTGTAAACAGGCAACAAGTAGTCTTAGAGGATTTTATGGATAGACAAGTTTCAATTGCCAGAAAAGTTTATTAGATTTTAAAGCTGTAATTTTTGAATGTTGGAGTCAGGTTAACAAAGAAAGAATTGAAAAACTAGTAAAAAGCATTCATAAAAAATTGAAGACTTCTATGCAAAAATTGGGTAACTACAGTTATCCCATTCTTTATGTGAAAACTGTTGTAGTACTTAGCTTAAATGGAAAAATTGGAGTTTTCTAGGTGGCAGACCAATTTCTTCATGTACAAGTGCACAATTTGTTTAATTCTGTCCCTAGAAAATTAATGGTTGCATGCAACATTTCTTAAATATTCTTGCTTAAGGCTTGTTAAAACTTAATAAAATGAGTAAAAATATGATTTTTAATAAAAGTTATTTAAGAATAAACAGGTTAATAGGTAAGAAAATTCAAAAGTATGTGATATTTTTTATTAAAAATGGGATAACGTTTAAAATTTAATTATTCTATATTTTAGCATATAAAAGAAACATTTAAAAAATACATTGGATATATATGTTACTGTGAAAGACCAAAATTAGAGAATGTCGATATTCTCCAGTGAATGTCAACACATACAAAATACGTTGGTGAAAGACCGAATATTTGGTTATATTGTACATTCGAACAATCGCCGTGTATGTCAACAAGCACAGATAAGCTTTGGTGGAGGTCAAACGACACCCGAGAAGCCGATGTCGACAGAGAGGCAACAGTCTGTCATTGTTCTTTGCCATTTTCTTCTGTTCAAATTGGTAATACCATACAAATACAAGTCCCTGATGTCGACCGTGGCTGTACAGATGCCTGAAATGTGTTGGTGGTTGTTGTTGGAATAGAAGACTCCAACTTTTATAAATTAACAAACAAAAATGGTACCTTCAAGCAGCTTTATACCCGTAATGAGTTCGTAATTTGTAAAGAAAAGTTACTTTCAATAGATGAGATTTCTTCTGAAGAAATATCACTGAGAGAAGCAGCTGCAGCTAATTCGAAAAGTGGAGGGCAAGGCTATACACGCTGTCATTGCAAAAAGAAGTGCTCCACGATTAAATGCAGTTGTAAAAGCAAGGAACTCTTGTCAATTCAAAGTGCCATAACAGTTTAAGTTGTTGCAATAAATAAGATTGTATAATGTTAATCACACAATTTATGTGTAAGTTTAATATTGTATTATTTTCTTTAATGATTTAGAATGTACTGTTCGTTTTAGGTTCAANATTCAAAGTGCCATAACAGTTTAAGTTGTTGCAATAAATAAGATTGTATAACGTTAATCACACAATTTATGTGTAAGTTTAATATTGTATTATTTTCTTTAATGATTTAGAATGTACTGTTCGTTTTAGGTTCAACAGTTTATTTACATGTGCTATTACTTAAGCTTTCTCCTATTTTGACATATTAAAAAGTTGCATTTTTGTCTTAACGTAATAAAAATACTTTTATTCAACATTCACCATCAGTGCATGCTGAATGTCGACATTTGCTGGTGTAAGTGAGAAATAATGATATTTAGCAAATATTTCGTACATACACGAAACAACTGTATGAATGCTGACATTCACTGGAGAATGTTGACATTCGCCAGATATCAGTCATTCACAGTAACATATACAGTATCTAATTGAATTTAAAAGTATATTTTAAGTTTCAATAGTTTTGCTTTGTACACTATTTTTATTCAAATATTTTATTGGTAAATTTTTACCATGGTAGACCAGATGGCCACACTTCTGGTCACCATCTTGTTTGTGAACACGAAGTCCACAAACAAGATGGCAACTGGTGAAATATACAAAAACTAAATAGTTCAATTATTACAATAAACTGTATTAAAAACAATAATATTAAACTCACTTTTTATAATATTAATACTCACTTTCATTTCCCTTTCTTCTTCTTTTTACACATTGAACATGTTTCTTCACAAGTTATAGAAAATTTATCTTTTCCCTTCAAACATGATTTAACCACACTTTTAGATGATTCCAAATTTGTATTTTTCCTCTTATTAGATTGGTTTGGTTAGATTAGGTTAACTACATTTTTAGTAGATGTTTCCTTTTTTTTTCTTTTTAGGTATTCCTTTCTTCTGTTTGCTGGGTTCAGGGCAAGCACTCCTAACCTGTTTGCTGGGTTCAAGCACTCCTAACCTAACCTAACCAATCTAATCTAATCAAAGTCTGTCATGCACTTTGCATATCGAGCATGCATTATCTTGCCAACATATGCCTCCAACAACCCAACAAATTTCTTTAAAAATTCTTACTTTTTTGTTATTTCTTTTACTAAATGCATTTTCCTCAATTTCAACTATTTTTTCCAGACCACCAACTTTAAATTCAGGTTTGTTACTTACAGATATTGTCGTGCGAAAAAAATCCATTGAAGTGTACTTTTTCCAAAATTCTTCTAAATTTTTCTCAATTTCCGACATTATTTGGTTATATTACTATTAATACAACTAATATTAATTACGATTGTAAATTGTATAAAAAACAATAGTTTTAAAATACATAAAACTGTTAAAAATTTTCACCAACATGCATTAGTAGCAATTAATCTGAAACTCAAAATTTAGCATATTAATAAATACTTTTGATCAGCACCACCTACATCATATTTCATCTGGTACACCATGTTGAGATTCCAGAAGAGCTACCATCGCATCTACCAAGGTAGACATTTACCATTTCGTTTCACTTTCAAATCATACAAAAATCAGTTTTTCTACTTATCCCATTTTTGCATAAACGTCCTCAATTGGAATAAGTTATCAAAATTTAAGTTTAAATTTCTGAAGTGGCAACACATTTGTGTCACATGACTTTTCATAATTTGACTTTTTTTATACTTTTCTGCAAATTGCACTTGTAATAAACCACAGCACTGTTACTCAGACCTTTAAAATGCAATAAAATTTTTAATTCTCAAGCATTTTTGGTCAACTTATTTGATTTTCAGGGCAGCTATTACTCAGATCTTTACCATATTTGTTTTTCTGTCCTGAAGAAGGTGGATAAAGTTTAAACGAATCTTGTTTTGTAAATATGAGATTCAACCAATATGAGACATGTCTCATACTTTAATATTCACCACATTTATTTGATGCAAGCTTAACAAATTCTTATCTCAAGTCAAAAAATTCTGTTAGGATTGATGTGATTGGTAAAACAGATCATGAGATTTTGTCAGTGTTTGCCATGTGCAAGGAAATAAGTATGTTCTTTGTTTAGTAACCTTAACTATTCTAGCATGATAATTTTAAAAAAATTATTATTTATTATAATTTTCCATACTAAATTTGCTAAAATAATTATTAGAAAAGCACATTGTTAATAGCTTCAAAAAAAGATATTGTATTTTACAAAAGATATGTGGACGATGTGTGCATTATCTGGAGAAACGGCAAAAGAATACAGGAGTTCATACAGGTTATTAATAACATCAACAATGATGGTTTGAAACTGAAAGTAGAGCAGAAGAGTCACAAAAGAATACATTTTCTAGATATTGACATACAATTAAAAGGAGATTGCATAACAACGGGCATTTACATAAAACCTACGCACAGTCCTCTCTACATACCAGCTAACNTTTCAACTTATGAAAAAACCTTGGGAATCTAACCTACTCTTAAGTAGGGAAGTGCCTATAACTAATAGCTTTAATTATAATATATAGTTGATAAACAGTGTATAAAAAATAATCTATATCAGTTTCTAAAATATTTCTGTTAAATGGAATGCAATTTATATTTCTTACAAAAACAATCTATTAAATAAAAGTTCTGAAAGTTTTCTTTAATCTCAAGGACAAAAGTATTCATTGGTTTTTGTTAATCAATTTTTCCTCCCATTTCAATCACTCCTTTAATTATTTCTTATTTCTTAGAATAAATAAATAAATAACAGACAATATTTATTTCAAACTAACAATTTACAAAAATTAAAAAGCATTATCTTGATTAGTTTTTTTACAAAATTTCTAGTTTTATTAAGTTCTATTCTATATTGCATGCATAGTCAATAAAATTACCTTATAAATCTAGACATATCTATTTGTAATATTGAATCATTCAAATAATTAAACAATAAACAATTAATAACTATCTTTCAGCAAATTATTAAAGTTTTACATTAGTCATTATTCCATTGCATAATTATTATACAGTGCTCCACAAAAGTATAGAACTGCTCAAAAAATTGGTCTTTTAAGGGTCAAAACATGCACTAATAGATACAAATAGATTTTTTTTACATGTAATTCAGCACCTAACTTATAAAAACATAATTTTAGGAAACTAATTCATAGCTGACTGCAAAATAGTGGGAAGCAATTTGCATACTGCCACATAAGTATAGAACCGCCATCTTTCTCAC